TCTCTCTTCCATTGCAGTTCCAGACTAAGCCGCAGTTCCCCAAACCACCATGCTGGGCCAAACTATCTTTTTGTAAAAACTTCTCAATAAACATATTAAACCGCTTCCTGAATCGTATTGTGTCTGCACCAGAGTCTACTATAGAATCATGTCATTGTCATAAAATTAAAAGAATACTTTAAAACACTTGATATGAGTTTCGATAAAAAGAAGAGCTGGGCAATGATTAAAATCTTCAATTACAATTAATTGTATAATTTGCCTGATTAATCACGATAAGTTCCATTGTAAACACACACTCCAAGAATGAGTTCAAAAATAGATTAAAGAGCACTATTTTTTATTGTTCTACTTGCCATTAGAAAAAAAGTGCCACCACATGTTCTCTTTCTCTTCATGAAAATAAACAAAATCCTGAGCAACAAAAAGGCAATTTCTGAGGTAGCAGCAGAAACTTTAACAGAGAATAGCATTACCAGTCTATTTTCAATACTAAAGAGTGATACACAAAAACGTTCACTATTGAAGCTTCCTTTACAGAGAACTGGAACATAAAGACTGTGTTCCCATTTGCCTGCTGCGTCCTCTGAATTAGACTTAGATTTAGACAGATTTATTTGTCATTTCGTGTGTAAAAACAAAAAGAAATTTCATTTGGAACTGCTCTCTTTGGACAATTTCATCTTTTTTAAAAGTGCAGCCTTGAAAAATAGTAAAAAAAAAAAAAAAAAAAAAAAAAATATATATATATATATATATATATATATATATATATATATATATATATATATATATATATATATATATATATATATATATATATATATATATATATATATATAAACAGTAATATAAACATATGACTAAATTTACAGTTCTAACATTTTCATTTTTTTTAAAATAAAATATAATAAATATAATAAAATACAATACAATCACCCATTTCATAAAACATCGGCAATCTGATGGCAGTGGAGAAGTAGGTGCTGGACCTGCATTGAATGCTTCGAAGCATCTTCCCAGAGGGCAGCAGGGAGAACAGTGCATGGTGGGGGTGTGAGGGGTCAATAATGATGTTATGGTCTCGGGGGTGAGGATGGGTGGGGGCAGGTGGGCTCTCTTCATTCTCCACAAGAAGTACATGCGCTTCTGTACCCTTTTTTCCAGTGAGGTGTTGTTTACAATCCAGTTTAGGGTGTCTCTGATGTGCACCCCCAGGAATTTGGTGCTGTTGACCACCTGTACAGCTGAGCTGTTGATGACCAGTGGAGCGTGGTTAGGACGGTTCTTCCTGAAGTCCAAGATGATCTCCTTCATCTTCTCCACGTTCAGGATCAGGCTGTTATCTTTGCACCACCAGCTGCTCCACCTCCTCTCTGTAGTTCTGGTCGTTGTCGTCTCTGATGAGGCCCTCCACCGTGGTGTCGTCTGCAAACTTCACGATGTGATTGGTGGTGAACCTGGGGACGCAGTCATGTGTCATCAGGGTGAACAACAGGGGGCTCAGGATGCAGCCCTGAGGCTCCCCTCAGGGCTGCATCCTATAAAGTTGCTCTCCAAGAACCAGTTTGCCTGTACTGACATTAAAAGGCACACAAGGTTACAGTGGAACAGTGTGGTTAAATACAGTGTTATTACTGCTTATTCAGTGACTGAAAACAGCATACCGGGGTGTGTTTGTTGGCCAAGTTTGTGGTACAAACAAAGATTTCAGTTTCTGTTTCCATCACATACAACACAAATAAGGTATAACACAACTACCCATAGTATACATTGCATTCAGCATTTATTTGATAAAACATTGTTTTGTTATTTCTGTTATTTAAAAAATCAAAAAGGTCCATATGGGCTTCACAAGCAGGCTGGTTCCCCTCAAGATTCATAAAACCCTTTCACTCTCAGGAACAATCGGCTTTTAGTTGCAGTTGGAACAGCTCCCTCATGTGTGTCTAACTGGGTCAAACGACTCTGATCGGCATGTTGTGGGAACACCAGACCCGGGATGACCTGCTAAATTATGTCACGCCATTGAACACAATGTACGAATGTCAGCACACCATGCCAGTCACTTTTGCTCTAACAAGCCGTAACATTTTCACATTTGTTAAACAATGTGCAGCACTGGTAAGAGGAATTCGGACATATAAAACAGCAAAATAATAAAGAATACTGACTACGCCCAGGCTCCCGTCCATGTTGCTCTCCATTATTTACTTCCCTGATTTCCATCGCACTGTTGAGATCATCAACCTCACCCAGCATGATGCCGTCCTCAGACACACAGTGGTAGGGGACAGTGGCACCGCTGCTTGCCAGCTAGGGCTTTTTTAGCCGGACTCGGGTTTTTGGTCAAATTGGAAAAGAGCCAAAAGCCGACTGTTTGCGGGTCAACCCGGTTTTGACAAACTTGAGCTTTCACTGAAAGCCTTTCAGTGAAAAAGTAGGTTTACCTGCTGCTAAGTGTGCAGCAGGTAAACCTACTGTATTATTCCACACTATATTTCTGTGTAGCTGTCATAAACACACCTTCTGTTTTTCAATAATCATAAATTCTTAAGGTTGTAGGAAATGGCTGTTCTAACCTTTGCATTTCCAAAATTCTCCCGAGTGGTGCCCGACTGTACACGAGTGAATAAAGTGAATGTGATTGGTCGTTTATGGTTTCTCGGAAGCATCTAGCTAACCAGTTAGCAGCTAAGTGCTAGTAGGTTCACTATGGAAAATTCCATTGGGACAAAATAGCACTGAATTGATGACTTAGAAACGACACTGTCAAGGAACAATATGGACAGAGGAAAGATGCAAGAGGAGGAGAGTTTAGTGTTGGAGGTCGTGGATAAGTCTCCTCCGTCATCCATTTTTTATTTAGAGGAGGAAAGCGGGGATGAAGATGTTGTGGAAGAGGACGCTAGGGCAGCAGAAGCTTGGTTTGGTGTAGAAGGCTTACAGCCGTACATGTTTGAGCCCTTGCCTCACAACGCTGCCAGTTCTGTTAGCTCTACGCCTGCTGAAGACACAGACGTCCATCCCTATGAACACTGGGACGGAACTCAATGGGAAAGGAAAGGATTCTTATTTCTTATTTCAACTGTTGCATATATTAGCTGCGACATATGAATTGTTGTGCCAGCTTACCAGAAGATTTTGAATATATTAAATTACTAGAACTGGGAGTTATAGTTAATTATTAGGTAATTCAAATCAAGGGTAAAACTAGTTATTTATTATCAGTTGAATGATTATAACTGTAATTTGTGTACTGACCAGGGTTGTAGCCCCTTTACCTAAAACACTGGACTCCTGAAGCCTGCTGTTGAAAATCCAGTTGTCTTTCACCAATTAAGTAATTTAGGCTTTGGCTCTTAGCCATGTTATTAATCACCAAGCAAATAAATGTGTCACTGTTCATTCAGATGTTCCTGGAAGAAGAGTGAAACAAAAGACAAAAGACAATGGGTTAAAATACAATGGTGCCTTTATAAGCTACACAGTATTATATTTAATAACTAAGCAACACTAAACACTACTGAAAATAAGCATAATAAAAGGGGAAGAGGGGTTTAAAAGTCCGTTCAAAGTTTGGGTGATGTTCAAAGTTTAAGGTTTAATGCATTTAAAAATGTCCTTTATAATGGCAGCAGATGAAATGTAAATAAACCCTGACCCAGAAATGTTACCTGCAGTCAAAACAGTGAAGTTTCATTCAGTTTATGATGAAAATGAATAATGACTCAGGACTGCATCAAACTATGATAAGGCTCAAAGACCCATTGGCTTAGCTGGCCCCAGGGGTTCAGGGTTCTGGTCGGATTCAACTGAAACAAAGAGAAGGTTAGCTCACAATTTAGCACTTAGCTTTAGCAACACGTGACTCGTTTGGGTTGTAGTGAGTGCTAGCATTCAGTTAAGGCGGGATTCAGTTTTTGGCATAACACCGCACCACGGTCCGCTAATCCCTGACCTCTGCATTAAACCGAAGCCAAGAGTAACGAGTAACGTTTGTTTTAAAAATGTAAGGAATAGAAAGTACAGATACTTGTGTGAAAATGTAACGAGTAGAAGTAAGAAGTTGGAGGGAAAAAAGTAAAGTATAGATACCTAAAAAGTGTACCTAAGTACAGTAAGGAAGTATTTGTACTTCGTTACTTGACACCTCTGCTTATCTGTAAAATAATATGTGTGACATTCTGTTATCACACATTCACACTGCAAAACGTAGTGGAGGTAAATTAACCCATGAGACTGGGTTGTCTGCAGAGCAAGCACAACATTTTTATTTGAGGTTTTCTCTGATTAAACTGGTCAAGCTAGTTTTTATTCTTTTTGAGTTTAAAATATTATTGTAGATTAAAATGATTGTTTTTGCAATTTCTACACATCAGCTGGTTAATAACAGCTTTTTGCAGACCCTGATTACAAATATAAAACCAACACACCCAGTTATGGAGCATGTCGTCATAAAGTGTAAGAGTCTCTTTAATATGTAATTATTCTTTAGGACAATTAGTTATATATAAAAAAACACATTTCCATTGTTAAGCCCATGCAGCATAGATCTAATGAGGGGATGGTTATTGAAGCATATTTAAACTGAAATGATGAGTTCACAGCAGCTGAGATGGATGCAGTAGAGAAAAAAAGGTTTAATTGAGAACTTTCATTAAATAGTTTAAATCATCTAGGAAACAGTTTGGACTAATATTTATCTGAAGATATCTAGTGAGTAATGTTTGTGCAGAACTTGTAACTAACAAATATTTGCTTATCAGCTATACCAGAGAATTGCTGTGTAGTATTTGGATAAACATCAATTTACCCTAAGACAACAAAGTTTTTGAAATTTTGCAAGAAGTGTTTTCCCCGAATATGACTGGTCAGATAAAGATTTAGTTTCTTCTTTTTTATTTTTAATGGGTGTTGCTTAAAACATTCCCTCTAGGGGTTATATATCAAGCCTCTGTCTAAGGAAAGAGGCAACAAAGGTTCTGACCAGTTTCAGAATGTCTCAGATCATGAGGGGCTCCCTGCTCTCCCTGTCAGCAGCCTTGCTTCTTCTCCTGCCCTGGTTCGATGGTCTGGCAGAAGGTGAGGTTAGTGCGGGCTTCAAGGACTGTCTGCACTTCTTCTACAACAAAGCTCTACCAAGTGGTTTAGAAGCTAACCAGTATGTCAGCGATTACCAGCCGATTTGCCAGCGCTACAAGAATCAGTATCACTTCGCCACTCTGTATAACAAGAAGAATAAGACCTCTTTGTTCTCCGCCTACATTCTGAGTCCTTCAGACGAACCACGGCCTAACGACCCCTGGATGTATGAACCACAGGTAGGTAATAAGCATCAATTAAAACTCATCTACCTGATAAGATGTCAGTACTGAGCTAATTATTTGACAGAAACAATATTTCTGTTTGAATTAACTTTATGTCATGTTTGGTTTAAGATTTCTAACCCACATCATGCAGAACACACGGACTCAAGGGAAAAAGTTCAAAGGTTTATTGAAACCAAGGGCGTAGGTTTGATTTCTACTTTGGTAGGGACACTATTCTTCAGTTTCATTGGTCCTTTGCAAAAATATGCATGCTCTTTTTTATGCTTAATGTGAGCTTCAGGGATCATTTTGTTTAAAGAGAACAGCAGCATTTCTTGCTACATTAATACAAATCTTATAAGCACTACATGCTCTAGATGCTGTTTATCAATTTTTAAAGCATCACTGGCTCTGATGAATGTGGAACTAGGACTTTTTCCACTTTGAAAAGGATTGCATTTAGATTTACCTGCGACTAAGACAGTGTCTGTTTAACCAAATATAGTCTATAATATGTGGGTTTATCCTGTGTTTTCTTCTGAAGATATAGAATTGTGCAGAGGTAAACAGAGGTAAAACCCACTCTTATTTTTTTTTTATCTAATATACTCTCTCTGGATCATGCAAAATAATACATTCAAGGGACGGCAAATAAATGTATTATATTTACATGTGCACTGGAACTATAAGAGGAACTGACACTGAGCATTTAAAGTATTAATATTAGAAGTAGTGCTGTCAATCGATTAAATTCTTTTAATCGCGATTAATTGCATCAATGCCTGAGTTAACTCGCGATTAATCGCATTTTAATCGCA